GGTAAGCAGAGCGATAAGCAATAGGCCTATGATTGGTGGAGACTTTGGAGCTCGAGAACTTTGATTTTGATTGATAGCCTTGGATCTGACTATGGTTCTGTATAAAAATTTGAGTAGGGGGAATTTTTTTTGTTGGGTGGACACTCACAGCGTGGTAGTTTATTCCCCGATGACGTCATCAAAGATGAACTCCGACGTTATATCAATTTTATCCTACCTGTTCTAGTTTTTTGCCAATTTCTATGAGATAACTGCAAGAATGAAGCTGTTTACGCAAACTAAAGTGAAAAATTTCATTACATCAATACCTTAAACATACATTATGCAAGAGCTAAATCTGTCTATTGCAGGTCTTTATTTAGAACTGAAATGTTATCTAAATTATTAATTAGACATTAATTAGCCTATCGAGACCATAATCAACTCTAGATGGCATCGCTAGCCTGCTATCTTTAGTGGATTATGAACCGATTTACTGCATAACTTTCCTTCACGATTTAGCGATTAAATGGATAATCGAGACTATGCTGTTTATCGTACTGACTTTAGTAATGACGATCGAGGCTAGGCGGAAATTTCAATTTCTTACATTATCTAGTTTTTATACACCCACATTTTCATGTGGACGTATATTGTCGTCGCCCCTGTCCGTCAGTCCGTCCGTCCATCCACAGTTTGTGAACAGTCTACAGCTCACAATTTTTATCCGATTTCAATGAAACTTGAAATATAGGTTTATCACCCTTAGATCTCGGTTCCTTTCGATATTGGCATCAATCGGACCGTAACTTCATGGATTATGGCCCCTGATTGTACGAAAAATCACGTTTTTGGCTTGTGAACACTGTAGAGGTCACAATTTTTATCCGATTTTGTTGAAACGTGAAATGTAAGTTTATAACCCAAAGATCTCGGTTCCTTTCCATATTCGCGCATATCGGACCGTAATTTCCTGAATTATGGCCCCTGATTGTACGTAAAAACACGGTTTTTATACGCCCACATTTTCATGTGGACGTATTATGCCGTCGCCCCTGTCCGTCCGGACGTCCGTCCGTCCACAATTTGTTTGTGGACACTCTACAGGTCACAATTCTTATCCGATTTTAACGAAACTTGAAATATAGGTGTATCTCCAAAAGATCTCGGCTGCTTTCCATATTGGCATGTATCGGATCGAAACTTCATGGATTATGGCCCCTGTTTGTACGAAAAATCACATTTTTGGCTTGTGGACCCTATAGAGGTCAAAATTTTTATCCGATTTTGTTGAAACTTGCAATGTAAGTTTAAAACCCAAAGATCTCGGTTCCTTTCGATATTCGCGCATATCAGACCGTAACTTCCTGAATTATGGCCCCTGATTGTACGAAAAATCGCGTTTTTAGCTTGTGGACCCTATAGAGGTCATAATTTTTTATCCGATTTAAAAAAACGTATTATTAAACCCTAAGAAGGGCTGAGTTCGAATTTCGTGAAAATCGGCCCAAAATTGACAGACAAAATGGCCACCGTTCGTTCTCAAATAGCGTAAGAATATGGTATATCAAGGTTGTGGACCCTATAGGGGTCACAATTTTTATCCGATTTTGTTGAAACTTGAAATTTTAGTTTATAACCCAAAGATCTCGGTTCCTTTCGATATTCGTGCATATCGGACCGTAACTTCCTGAATTATGGCCCCTGATTGTACGGAAAATCGCGTTTTTAGCTTGTGGACCCTATAGAGGTCATAATTTTTATCCGATTTAAAAAAACATTCTATTATATCACCGTTACACCCTAAGGATGACTGAGTTCGAATTTCGTGAAAATCTTCCCAAAATTGACAGACAAAATGGCCGCCGTTCGTTCCCAAATAGCGTAAGAATATGGTATACCAAGGTTGTGAACACTGTAAGTTTATAACCCAAAGATCTCGGTTCCTTTCGATATTCGTGCATATCGGACCGTAACTTCCTGAATTATGGCCCCTGATTGTACGAAAAATCACGTTTTTAGCTTGTGGACCCTATAGAAGTCATAATTTTTATACGATTTAAAAAACCGTTCTATTATATCACCGTTACACCCTAAGGATGACTGAGTTCGAATTTCGTGAAAATCGGCATTTAGTAATTGGAACATAATCAAATAACACACTATTTATGGATAACAATTACTGTGGTTTATTTCACTGCGACGTTTCAACAAGATTTCACAAGTCGTTATCAAGCATATAACACAAATAAATAAAATGAAAACAAAATAGCTATATATATATACACGAGCAGTGCGAACCCTCCAATGGGATGCAAAATCAGCAAGCATGAGCAACTGTCCCAAGCTGTTAAATAAACAATGTACATAGATGGTTATAAACTGTTATTGGTATAGATAAGTGCAGGAATGAAGCCAAAGGATCAAACAATTATTAGCAGGTATAATGAGTCACGAGCAACTGGTCCTGACTGTAAAAACATATTAAATAAATCTATATATATATATATATACAGTAATTAGTTATAGATGAAAGTAATAATAAAAGATGAAAGGACAAGTATTATGGGGGGGGGGGGGGGTGAAACTGAAGCCATAAGCAGTTAATCCTAACAGTGAAGGCAATATGCAGTAAAGCAAATTGTAATTGATTTGAGGAGATGTACAAAGTTAAAAGCAATACAAATATTAAAATTAAAGGATAGTTCAGAGACGATGTAAACTACATTTTAATGATGCGATCATACGCTCTTGGAATGTAAATTCGAAAGCAGTCGTCCTTATGGTGTAACGGTGATATAAAAATACGTTTTTTTAAATCGGATAAAAAATTATGACCTCTATAGGGTCCACATCCTAAAAACGCGATTTTTCGTACAATCAGGGGCCATAATTCAGGAAGTTACGGTCTGATATGCGCGAATATCGAAAGGAACCGAGATCTTTGGGTTTTAAACTTACATTGCAAGTTTCAACAAAATCGGATAAAAATTGTGACCTCTATAGGGTCCACAAGCCAAAAATGTGATTTTTCGTACAAACAGGGGTCATAATCCATGAAGTTTCGATCCGATACATGCCAATATCGAAAGCAGCCGAGATCTTTTGGAGATACACCTATATTTCAAGTTTCGTTAAAATCGGATAAGAATTGTGACCTGTAGAGTGTCCACAAACAAATTGTGGACGGACGGACAGGGGCGACGGCATAATACGTCCACATGAAAATGTGGGCGTATAAAAAACGTGTTTTTACGTACAATCAGGGGCCATAATTCAGGAAGTTACGGTCCGATATGCGCGAATATCGAAAGGAACCGAGATCTTTGGGTTATAAACTTACATTTCAAGTTTCAACAAAATCGGATAAAAATTGTGACCTCTACAGTGTTCACAAGCCAAAAACGTGATTTTTCGTACAATCAGGGGCCATAATCCATGAAGTTACGGTCCGATTGATGCCAATATCGAAAGGAACCGAGATCTAAGGGTGATAAACCTATATTTCAAGTTTCATTGAAATCGGATAAAAATTGTGACCTGTAGACTGTTCACAAACAATTGTGGATGGACGGACGGACTGACGGACAGGGGCGACGACAATATACGTCCACATGAAAATGTGGGTGTATAAAAACTAGTTAATGTAAAGGCAATTTGCTGAAAATTTCATTCAAATTAATTCACTATGATCCGAGAACTAAGAAATTGAAATGTCCGCCTAGCCTCGATCGTCATTACTAAAGTCAGTAGGCCTACGATAAACAGCATAGTCTCGATTATCCATTTAATCGTTAAATCGTGAAGGAAAGTTATGCAGTAAATCGGTTCATAATCCACTAAAGATAACAGGCTAGCGATGCCATCTAGAGTTGATTATGGTCTCGATAGGCTAATTAATGTCTAATTAATAATTTAGATAACATTTCAGTTCTAAATAAAGACCTGCAATAGACAGATTTAGCTCTTGCATAATGTATGTTTAAGGTATTGATGTAATGAAATTTTTCACTTTAGTTTGCGTAAACAGCTTCATTCTTGCAGTTATCTCATAGAAATTGGCAAAAAACTAAAACAGGTAGGATAAAATTGATATAACGTCGGAGGTCATCTTTGATGACGTCATCGGGGAATAAACTACCACGCGGTGAGTGTCCACCCAAGTCCATAATATTGACTAAGCCGCCTACTAAACATTTCTACAAAAAAATTCCCCCTACTCAAATTTTTATACAGAACCATAGTCAGATCCAAGGCTATCAATCAAAATCAAAGTTCTCGAGCTCCAAAGTCTCGACCAATCATAGGCCTATTGCTTATCGCTCTGCTTACCCTGAGCCGAAAATGCTCATTATCCATCTCAGTCCAGGTATTGATGTGATGAAACTATACACCCAAGTTTCGTCACTTTCACTTAATTAGAACAAAAGTTATCGTGTCCCAAAGCATCAGCCATCCAAATTGCTTATCTATGCTTACCCTAAGCAGAAAATGTTCATGTTCGAACTCCATCAATGCATTCACCGAATGAACGCCTACACCAAGTTTGAACATTCTACCTCAATTCGAAGGAGAATTATTGTGTTCCAAATTTTCGAAAAATCAAACTGCTTGTCGCTCCGCTTACCTTGAGCAGAAAATGTTCAATATCGCAGTAAGTCATGGTCCTAATGAAACTATACATGAAGTTTCACCGCTGTCTCATAATTAGAACTAGTCATCGTGTACCAAAGCATCAACCAATCAAATTGCCGATCTCTGCTTACCCTAAGTAGAAAATGCTCATCTTCGAACTCCATCAAGGCATTCACCTAACAAACACCTACACCAAGTTTGAAGATTCTACCTCAATTAGAATGAAAGTTATTGTGTCCCAAAAAGTGTGACGGACAGACAGACAGACACACGGACGGGCGGACGGACTATAGTATTAAAAGATATACCGATACATATTTTTTAAAGGTTCATATATTTAAACCTGTTGATGTTTTAAAATTTGTAAAGTTATGGAAGTTATTTACCCTTCTTTTAATCTTTATGTTTCACCCTAAGAGCCTGTTACCTCAATTACAGAATTAGAACTAAAATATGATACAAGCCTTTATCACCCAATAACACATACTACAGTTGATATCGCTTGTGGGATAACTTTCATATTCTACTGAGATATTGCTTTACATGAATTTGATTGGTCAATTAAAATGGATGGAAAAGGTTGGGTGATAAAATCTTTTACTCGTCTTTTTTATTTAAAAAAATATCAACACAACTCGATGATAATGTAAAAACGAAAGCCTCTTTCTTTTTTACATTATCGACTTGTGTTGATATTTTTGATAGACAATGAATGGATCCCGTAATTGTACACCTGAATAAGATTTAAAAAAAAAACCTTCTATATTTATATGACATAGCTGTCAGCTGTACCCCACCACTAGAAATGTCTGCCAGAGTGTTTTTGTAATACCTGAAGATGTACGGTACATTGCTGTGCAATTTTCATGTGGTACACTTTTGAGCTAATCTAGACTAGTTGGGGGGCATGGCATTTTGTGCGTGGAATACCACACCCACCACCAGAAACCCGGCAGACTTACATTCTGATGATACCAGATATACATACATTGATACCATATAGGAGACCAGCGGCTGCCAGGCAGAATACGCCCACATTTTCGAGAGATGGATAGAGAACAAGCTAAAAAGAAAGTGATTTTTCCTACAATCAACGGCCATAATTCAGGAAATTACAATTCGATATGCGCAAATATCGAAAGGAACTGAAATCTTTGGGTTATAAACTTACATTTCAAGTTTCAACAAAATCGGATAAAAATTGTGACCTCTATAGGGTCCACAACTTTGATATACCGAGGGGCGGCCATTTTGGTCTGTCAGTTTTGGGCCGATTTTCACGAAATTCGAACTTAGCCGTCCTTAGGGTGTAACGGTGATATAATAATACGATTTTTTAAATCGGATAAAAATTATGACCTCTATAGGATCCACAAGCTAAAAACGCGATTTTTCGTACAATCAGGGGCCATAATTCGGGAAGTTGCGGTCCGATATGCGCGAATATCGAAAGGAACTGAGATCTTTGGGTTATGAACTTACATTTCAAGTCTCAACAAAATCGGATAAAAATTGTGACCTCTATAGGTTCCACAACCTTGATATACCATATTTTTAAGCTATTTGAGAACGAACGGTGGCCATTTTGTCTGTCAGTTTTTGGCCGATTTTCACGAAATTCGAACTCAGCCCTTCTTAGGGTTTAACGGTGATATAATAATACGTTTTTTTAAATCAGATAAAAATTATGACCTCTATAGGGTCCACAAGCTAAAAACGCGATTTTTCGTACAATCACGGGCCATAATTCAGGAAGTTACTGTCCGATATGCGCAAATATCGAAATCGGATAAAAGTTCCGATTTTATTCAAGTTCTCCCGTAAAAGTCGAATTATAGGTAAGGCAAGTGTCGGATCAGAACCCAACTCGACCTAATCCCCCACCGGGGATGTTAACCAAAATTTTTTTCCGGTTTAGATGGTTAGGCCTAATACCTAGGCCCTCCGAATCTGGTCTCAAAATTAAAATCAGAGTATTCTACGAATTTTCGAAAAAAAAAGTTCATTTCGGTAACCTCAGAAAAATGGCAACCCCTCGACTTAAGGAAACCGGATCTCAGGGGGTTCCGATTTTATTCAAGTTCTCCCGTAAAAGTCGAATTATAGGTAAGGCAAGTGTCGCATCAGAACCCTACTCGACCTAATCCCGTCTAGGGATGTTAACCCAAATTTGTTCTCTTTTTCCCGGTTTAGGTGGGTTAGGCCTAATTCCTAGGCCATCCGAATCTGGTCTCAAAATTAAAATCGGTGTATTCTACGATTTTTCGAAAAAAAAAATGATTTCGGTAACCTCGGAAAATGGCCACCCCTCGACTTACCGAAGCCGGAACCGGAAGAGATGATATGGGACGCTGCGCAATGTCCTAGGGTAGGTACCCAGTGAATTTCACGTTGAAACCCCCGAAGGTACGGATGTTGTGAGCAAACGGACACGTGTATTCGGAATTTTAGCCAAAATTATTAGAATTTTGCTCCGAAAAGGGGCACTTACTCAGCCCCCAGGGGTCTGAGGGATCCCAAATTTGGCCGAAAGATGGGTGATGTGGTGATGTACCTGGCTTGAAAATTTGGTGTCGAACGTAAAGCTGGGAGGGTCGGGTGTAGCGATAATCCTAATGAAAAATCGGCGAAAACAGAAAAAAATCGATTTTGCCATTTCGGTGCCACCCTAGAAAACGCCCATAAATCATCCCCATGCGATTTGGCGGGCGGTCAGTGGGGATCCGTGGGCAGGTGTTCATCAAAAATGAGCAGGATCGGCAAAGGGTTCTTATTTTATTCAAGTTCTCCCGTAAAAGTCGAATTATAGGTAGGCAAGTATCGGATAAGAACCCTACTCGACCTAATCCGCCTTGGGGATGTTCTTGGGCAGGCCCCTACACGGTAAACCCCGAGCCTTCAGCGCTCGCAAATAACTTGCGCGGCCGTCTTTAAACGGTAATTTTCGGGTATTTCAGGCCTGCCCCTCCGTACGCTTATGCGATAACACCAAGCCGGAATATAGGTTGATAGCGTAAATGCTTTCCTTGAGATCCAACACCAATTAGAGCAACTGAGGACATGTGTTTATTGATAAGGGGAAGAAATTTCCACTAAACCAATTTTATGGTCACGGGCCGCAAACAGAAAGTTTGCAAAATCATATTCTAACATACATGGTCATGCTTCGGCTTTTCCTAGGTCTTCTCTTAGACAGAATCTCTTGGATAGAGTGCTATTCGAGACATGTTTCATCTTGTTTTCGTGTATGTGTATGTCAATATCGATTTGGCTGTACTTTAAAGACTTTATTTTTATCTAGAAAACATCCCCTGAACAAACTGTTATTCCGTGAGATGCAATACAAAACAAGTATTAGCCGAATAATATTTTAGCGTGCCTTAACTTTACGTATGTCACATGAGGAAGAAGGTCAGTAAAGGGTACTAGCTATATTGCAATGCGTGTCCTGGCATATAATTGAGACAAACGCAATGACATTTGTAGGTTAATATTAATTTACACGCCTGCTAAGAGAAGGAATATGACTTTCACCAATGACTAGACACAAACAGTGATTTTTTTTAAATAATAACGTTAACAAGTACAATAAAGGTATGTTGGTTATGTGAACTCCTTGAAGGCGAAGTTGTATCGCGTGTTCTAGAAAGAACTACCATTGGGTGTATTGCAGCTTGTGATATAAAAAAAAAATCATATTTACTTCTCTGGGGATATTCCCACTGTAACATTTCAGCTTAACGACATTTTGATATTTCTCTTTAGCAAGGTTTATCATATATCAGGACTGGATTAACCATTAAGCAAACTAAGCACATGCTAAGGACGTAATGGGATCTGGGGGATTTACCACAAAATTTATATTTTGTTAGATGCCAAATTAAAAATATTTAATCTAAAAATTAAGAACGTTTAATTAGTTTTTCATTGTTTTTTTTATCTTTTTGTCCTGTTACCTCCTTTTTCTCAATTAATTTTGACAAATGCAATTTTGTTTTGTGGTTTATTATGGTTAAATATATAATATGGCAGAAATGGTTTCACTATTAATGTCTCCCGTCTTGATCCAACCTTGGTGTTGTGTTTTGTTATGAAATATACATAGTTGCATAGGTACGTAGCCTATTCAATAAGTATACAAAATATTTCAAACAGTTCAAACCCTTCAATATTTCAAACGAATATGTCTAAACTTCACAGTCATGTGCTTCTAATAATCACAGTTTAAGAATGGGTCTTTTTAGAACCGAATTCTTAGTTTTAACTTCAACATTCTGAACTAAATTGTCCAGGGAATACATCAGTTACGCGGCCAAGAAGACATTGGTTCTTGGGAATATTGTCTTCATACACTAAGACTAAATCGTCTATACACAAAATTAATTACGCTTAGGTTTTAACCTTTTTTTTTTGAAGAGTGGGGATATACACCTTTACCGCCTATTCCAATAGTGATTGGATAATAATTGGCACTGGCGCCATCTTTTCCTACTCAATTTATCAGTTTCACAAATAATTTCCTGGGGAATAATCACTGGGTTTAACATTCAAGAAATGGTTCGGAGTTAAAGGGTCTTCGGCATTTTCGCTCAATGGGTTTCGCGTTAAAGGGTTTCGCGTCTACTGTTTGCGATCCTTTCAGCTTCTTCAAAACTGTTGTTAATACCTCCTCGTTGATAGTGTCATTTCCGATCATCGCTTTCAAACTACGCTTTACACTTTTTGCAATTTCTACCATGCCGAAGTTCAGTTTCTGGATGCATTCTCGGATTTCTTTTCCAGCTTCCATTGCCGAGGAAACCTAGTGATTTCACAAGTTCCAAATGAATGGCACGAGAGTTCATGCATACAAATAACGCACCACGTTTTTCTACAACTTTTCTACTACGCCTCACATACATAGGACCAAAATAATCTAGTCCAGTATAAGTAAAGGGGTTTTCAAACTGGGTTAGTCTATAACTAGGAAGATTCACCATTTCTTGTACCATATGGCATTACGCTTTCTACACAATATGCAGGGCTGTATCACTTCACGAATGGCAATTCTTGATTTGAAAATCCAAAACCTTTCTCGGATTAACGAAAGCCCTTGTTCGTGTCAACGGTGTCCATTTGCTTTATGGAAATGACGATTATCATATTCGTAACATGATGTTTTCGCGGAAGTATCGATGTTTCGCATCATATTATGAGATAGGAGCCTTTGTCAGTTTACTACTTACACGGATGACGGATGATGCCATCGTTTAATAAAGGTTTAAGCCTGACAATGTTACTCGAGTTGCTCACACATTGACTTGATTACAAACGTGTCAATTCATTTGGAAAATTCCGAATTGGACTTCTCGGATGATACATTTGGTTGCAAATTCACAGTCTTCAGTTGTAATTCGTTTCTCGATTTTCGATCTGTTATTTGGATCGGTTTTAAACCAGCCAATAAATTTCACGATCCAAGCTACATTTCTGACACACAAATTCCAGTTAGAATGTTTGTTTATTAATTGGGAAAGACACGATTTGGGTTCAGAAGAAAACGCGTTGACCTCCTTAACTTCTAACATTTCAACGGGAACAGTATCGATCTTCAAATCCGCCCATTGATCTTTGGGTTTCCAAAGAAATTGAGGTCCTCTAATCGAACGATTGTCACAATTGAATTGTTCAAGTCCCCTGCTTACATCATCAGCAGGGCTCAACTTCCCAGGGCTGTGATGCCATTGGTCGGGTTCTGTTTCACGGATTTCGGTTACGACGATTTTCATTTGTTAATATAGTTCCGTGTTATCATCGAATCAGTCCAGAAATAGGTTCTGTCAATATCAATTTCTATTTCACGGATTAAACTGATATGGATTCTAGCGGCTAGTACATCACCCTGTAATTCTAGTGTAGGAATACTGGTTGATTTTATTAGTTGATTTCTGGATTTACCCATCACAAAGGAACATTCAATTTCACCATTTGGGTACACGATTCTCCTATAGGACACGCACCCTAAGGAAATTTCCAAGGCGTCACAAAAATGATGCAATTCAACAACTGTACCCTGTTCATGTCTGTCTTGGTGGAAATAGCTTCTTTGAACTTTGACGTTTTCCAAGCGTTGGAGGTTATCTTTCCCAAGCAATTCTCATACCTTTTGATCCCACGACCACTTCTTACGCCAGAGTTCTTGCATGATCTGTTCAGCAGGAATCATTACAAGGGCAGCAATATTGATAGGGTCAAACACCGAACAAATTGTTGATAACACTCCTCTCATTGTGTTTGGTTTGTCTAAATTCGTGACTTTGAATCCCAGTGTCCAATTCAACAAACCACTAAAGCCCGAGTGCTCTGGAATTCGGCAGTTGGTCAAAATCTAAACCAAGTGAATATTCCTAAAACGTTTCTGTCATTACTTAGAAATTTTGTCAATTTAAAACCGCCATTTTTACATATTTCAACAACTTATTGTCCAATATCAATAGCCTCTTCTGGAGTGGGAAATTCAATCTCACTGTCTTTCGCGGTCCTCAATAAAGCAGAATTGGCTGAGCAGGGCGGGTCGCTGCTCCGAAAGTTTGAACAGTCATGACGTATTTATATAGGGGTTTATTAAATCCATGTGTCCACCACAGAAATCTTAGAGAATCTTGATCTTCCTTTCTAACACGCACCTGGTGGAACATACTTTCAACATCGGCGGCAAGGCCTATTTTATCTTGACGGATTCGTAAGAGTCCTCCGACTAAGTTGTTTGTTCTATCTGGTCCAGTCAATAATTGTTTATTCAACGATGTACCACCGTATTTCGCTGTGGCATCAAACACAATTCTTACTTAACAGTATCGATCTTCAAATCCGCCCATTGATCTTTGGGTTTCCAAAGAAATTGAGGTCCTCTAATCGAACGATTGTCACAATTGAATTGTTCAAGTCCCCTGCTTACATCATCAGCAGGGCTCAACTTCCCAGGGCTGTGATGCCATTGGTCGGGTTCTGTTTCACGGATTTCGGTTACGACGATTTTCATTTGTTAATATAGTTCCGTGTTATCATCGAATCAGTCCAGAAATAGGTTCTGTCAATATCAATTTCTATTTCACGGATTAAACTGATATGGATTCTAGCGGCTAGTACATCACCCTGTAATTCTAGTGTAGGAATACTGGTTGATTTTATTAGTTGATTTCTGGATTTACCCATCACAAAGGAACATTCAATTTCACCATTTGGGTACACGATTCTCCTATAGGACACGCACCCTAAGGAAATTTCCAAGGCGTCACAAAAATGATGCAATTCAACAACTGTACCCTGTTCATGTCTGTCTTGGTGGAAATAGCTTCTTTGAACTTTGACGTTTTCCAAGCGTTGGAGGTTATCTTTCCCAAGCAATTCTCATACCTTTTGATCCCACGACCACTTCTTACGCCAGAGTTCTTGCATGATCTGTTCAGCAGGAATCATTACAAGGGCAGCAATATTGATAGGGTCAAACACCGAACAAATTGTTGATAACACTCCTCTCATTGTGTTTGGTTTGTCTAAATTCGTGACTTTGAATCCCAGTGTCCAATTCAACAAACCACTAAAGCCCGAGTGCTCTGGAATTCGGCAGTTGGTCAAAATCTAAACCAAGTGAATATTCCTAAAACGTTTCTGTCATTACTTAGAAATTTTGTCAATTTAAAACCGCCATTTTTACATATTTCAACAACTTATTGTCCAATATCAATAGCCTCTTCTGGAGTGGGAAATTCAATCTCACTGTCTTTCGCGGTCCTCAATAAAGCAGAATTGGCTGAGCAGGGCGGGTCGCTGCTCCGAAAGTTTGAACAGTCATGACGTATTTATATAGGGGTTTATTAAATCCATGTGTCCACCACAGAAATCTTAGAGAATCTTGATCTTCCTTTCTAACACGCACCTGGTGGAACATACTTTCAACATCGGCGGCAAGGCCTATTTTATCTTGACGGATTCGTAAGAGTCCTCCGACTAAGTTGTTTGTTCTATCTGGTCCAGTCAATAATTGTTTATTCAACGATGTACCACCGTATTTCGCTGTGGCATCAAACACAATTCTTACTTTACCGGGTTTATTCTCGTTCTTTATTCCAAAATGTGGCAAATAAAACGTTCTCAGGCCTGTCGGTTTCGCCTCCTCATCAGAAAGCTTTCTAACATATCCCTTTGGGATGTAATCCGCCATTGTAAACGATACCAATATCGTCATCTTTTTCGAACCAACGTTTCAATCTTCTCAGCCGATCTTCGGCTTGGTGTCGATTATTTGGTAGAATCACGTTATCGTTTTTCCACAACAGACCGTTTTCATAGTGTCCATTAATTAACCGGGTAGTCTTGTCTAAAATCATATTAGTACGCTTTTCTTCAATCAATTCATTTTCAAACCGTTCTGGAATATTCAATCTTTTCGAACCAAAGTCATCTAATTTCCAGAACTTTTCAACCAAATTGTGCAAGTCAGGGGCGTGCTGGCCCCGAAGGAGCCCGGGAGGCGCCGAAGGCGCGACGCTGGTAGGGGGGTCTGAGGGGATTCTCCCCCCAGAAAATTTTTGAAATTTGACAACGGGGAAACGCGTTTTGCAAGCACTTCTGGGAGAAATCTAGGTATCATATTTTCCAAATTGATGCTGCTATTTTGACTATAAGACATACTACTGTACTACACAAGACACTCATGACAGGTCTGCTTAATATAATGCTAATGAAAATTAGAGCTCTCAGGGGGGCCCGCTTATACGGGTGGACTTATTGTTTAATGGGGGCCTGGGAGGACACCTTCCTCCTAAACTCCCTGCCAGCACACCCCTGGTGCAAGTCTTTATCAACATGAGTAAAATTGCAGGTAACTGATTTCGGAACTAGAACTCTTCCTAAAGTACCGGTTATCACCCATCCTAAAGGTACACGTGGTCCTTGTAGTTCACTTCCGTGTTTATCAGATTTTCGAATTTCTAAAATATGAAGCTCGGGCATGTCTTTACCTATCAAAATGGTCACCTTCTTGATATCAACGTCCGGAAGATCGAGATCTTTTAAATGTGTATGTAGACTCAAGTTAATGTAGTGTGGTAACACCTTCTTCTCGTTGATATTAAATTTATCAGTAATAAGTCCTTCTTTTACTTCAAACACAGCACCATCGCCAGATACAGATTGGATGTTAAAATTCGCAATTTCAAATTGTTCGGATTTACTTTGGGTAATTGTGCTCACATTGACCAGACTTTTTCGACCTCGAATTCCGAGAGGTTTAGAAATCTCACAACCTATAATAGTTGCCCTAGAAGCATTGGCAATAAGCCCAGGGACTTTCCCTGGGGTCCAAATACTCGCACAGCAACAACATGTAATAGGACCGTCAGAGTTGGATTTTCAATCATTGTAGCATGGCATACTGAAGTTTTAACGTCGGTTTCGTCAGTGTTTTTATCATCGGGTGTTTTTTTATTTTTATAATTTTCACGCTTGCCCCTAGGAATGTGTAACAATGGTTGGTGTTTTCTTTCATTCGAGCAGGGACAATGAATACTAACACGACAGTTGTCACAAAGGTATCCTGGCAATAAACACACGTGACACACTTTCGATTCTTTTATAACTTTCCAACGAGTGTCTAAATATTTCTGTGTAAATTCGCCACATTTAGATAGGTTATGATTTTTTGAACAATATGCACATGTTTTATGTGCAGATTTTTTGTGAAACATCAATTAATAATGTAGTTGTGCGTCTATTAGGATAATTTTATCTTTTTTATGCTTAATAAAGTTATCACTGGAGTTCAGTGGCACAAAGGCTGGGTCAATAGCAGCGTGCTTCTCTACAAATTCGCCCAAGTCTCTTAATCGTGGTGTGCTACCCTTACTTCTCAAATTATAACAGCAATCACCCCACTTATTGATGAGATAATTGGGCAAACAAGATACAACCAAGTTTAGATTAGCCATGGTACTAGCTTCAGCCTCATAAATACCTATCAAACGTTTGATAGCTGATTGTAAGTTCTCAGAAAATTTCAACAATTCTTTAGTATCAGAGCTTGTCAGTACGGGGACATTCACTAAACCTTTCAAAGTTTCTGCTGCTACTTTTGCAGGGTGTCCATATCTGGCTTCAAGCATAGAAACTATGGTACTATAAGAACAACCCGATACTCTTTCCATCACCCCAAGAGCTTCGCTAAATGATATCCATAAGAAAGTAAAATAGCTCAAGATATCTATAAGCTTATAAGAAAGTAAAATAGTTAAAAGACATCCATACGAATGTAAAGTAGTTAAAAAATAAATAAATTATATTTAGAAGAAAGTAAAACAAGAAATGAAATTGGGTTTAATACCATTTAATTCCTATTTTTCTGCGGTTTTAATGAGTTATAAGTTTTAGTCTAATTTTTGATGTTTTGATGTTTAAAAACACCTTTTTAACTGCAAACAAACTGTATAGAACTTCTTATTAATTGTTGTAGAATTATTCATTTGACGTGGTGAATACGTACAATATTGTTGTCAATATTGTCACTCTAATTTTGTTTTTTGGGACAATAAAATGCTGACACCTATGTCAGTGGTCTGAATCCCACATTAAAAGTAAGGAAATTTGATTACAATCCAGATATTACATCTGAAATACAGATGAGAGAGAGAGAGAGAGCGAGAGAGAGAGAGATTTAACACTGACATAAACTAGGTCATTTCGGGACTAACATATGGTTTAATTTGAAATACAGATTAGAGATAATATTATAGATAAATTTGGGCTGGGGTAGAATAAAGACAACCACAAGGGCCACTGTTTTTTTTTCAGAAACAAATCAGCCTAAAACTAACTATTATCAAATACTGTTGATGTGATGTGCAGTAGTTTTCTTTTTGTTTTGTACGAGATCCAATTAACTGAGAAATAAAAAAGGAAAAGACTTACAGGAGAATTACATGCAGTCTTTATTGTTTATTGACAAGGAACTAAGCAGAGAGCTGCAGCTGCCATCAAGATATATAGCTGCACAATTTCCAAGAAATTCCTATTAAATTCAATTGTAATCTAAAATATAATCTTAAATATAACCTTTAAAACAGTATGAAATTTAATAAATATAGTAGTAACTATAGCAACAAAATTAGCTTGTTTCTTATACAATACATGTATTCATATAAACATAAAGCTTCTATCTCTATCCACATACAACATGTTTACATACTATAAAAATGAATAAAACTGTGATCATTAAATCCATATAGCTTTTGTTTTTCTTCAATAGATGGTCAATATTAACTTACTTCAACTTCAAGCAAATAAAAAAGTAAAGAAATTAAAAATTTCATCCAACTATTCCACTCTCGGAGAGTGTATTTGTCGTAGGTGAGCATATTCAGTATGAATAGATTCAGTACTAAATCTTAATGGGAAATAACCCTTCTGCCCACATGATGTCCAAGTATAAATTCTAACATGTCAGAAGTTACTGGAATTGAATTTCTACCAGATTCTACCATCAGCATAAGCAGGATGAGCAAGTCTATAAGCATGCCTCTTCCAGGATTCTTCTGTATTATGTTGTATCAACTGACGATGTGCTGCGTCATCTTTCTTTCTTTGTCTTAATCGTTCCTCCATGTCTTGTCTGAAAAATAATATAAGGGAAAATTCACTTCAATAAGAGACTTTAGAATTAAATTGATTAATTATATTTTCGAAATTTTCAATGAATATAGTGTTCATACAAAACCAATCAGTATATAAAATCAAATAAAATCGACAATTTCATTTTTGACCCAAATCAAAAAGGACAAGTCATTTTAAGACGGAAATTTATTACCTAGCTTTTCTTTCCGCTTCAGTACCAGCGTTGTCTTCAATCCTAACTTTTATTCTTGAAATCATAAATGGCTGACCAAACACTTTTGCCTGGAATAAGATTTTAAACATAAGTCCTCTGACAATTACAATAGTCATAAGGTATGTTACATTTAAAGGGATAATTGTGTCATTTCTTTGTTTATTTTTCATAAATCTGCTGACACACTGTCTAAGAATTTTAAATTTAAATATGAAGCAACCACAGAGAAAAATACAATTTTTACATAAAGGTGCCCTACCATTATGCTAGATTATTTGATAGTGCGAGGTGTTTGACCTCATGGTTGGTTGAGATTATATTCAGTTAGTGTGTTACCCAAACCTTGACATCTTTCATAGCACTGAGAGAATTCAATCTGAAAATAAACTATAAACTCATTCAATACATGTACCTCTCCTTGATGGAAGAAATCTACAGCTTTATTAACACTGGTCTCATCACACATTAACACCCATCCAACACCATTATTACATCGGGTTACAGGATCCTATAATAATATATCATTATATTTATAATCACATTCTTATCCCTAATAAAGAGGGGAAACAAGTACTCTCTTCCTTGTATGTTACTGGATCTCATGTCATGTTATATATAGAATGCTGGGAGTACATACCACAGAACCTGCAATATGTATAGTCAGAATTTAATGAAAGTAACAGTCCCAGATTCAAAGGACATGAATTGATAAAACCGGATTAAGTACACATATTAAATGCCAATTGTGAAGAAACAGACCAAATGGCTTGTTTAAAAGAATATACTTATACTTAGCCATTCAGAAGTGATTTCTATGTTTGAATAACAGGGTTACATAACTCATATGAGGTGACCACTGTTCAATTGTTCAGTTCCAACAATCATTTACCACTATACCTTTAGCAAGTATGTAGATATAACTATAAAGGTATTCAAGGATTGTATGGAATTTGGACAAAACAGAGAGGGAAATTGAGCTTCAGAAGTTCACCAGTGGTTTTTTTTTTTAAAAAAGGAAAACGTTTTTATTTGAATTTATAAGAAGAGGGCCAATCTAATAAAAACAATCCCATCCAGATAATTATAGTTAATGTAACTGGATTATGCTGTAATTCCGTTCACCTTCATAAGACAGACTTCATCCACACTACAATCAGCTTCCATATCAAATAGTGCTTCTATTTTATTAACTGTAGCATTACCAGGTAGATTAGACAGGTATAAAGCTAATTCTCTTTTACCTGATACCTGTTAAATATAAACATTATAATAACTAGTTTCATCTGTATGCTTTTTTAAAATATTTTCTCCACTAGATATATACTAACGTCCAAAAGAAAGTATACACTGGGCATTTTGTGCTGCATCAATCAAAGTCGTTTTTCTATGGTATACAGTATTTGGGTAGAATGTCAATTTGTTTCACATTTTTATTTTGCTTAGACAAACTCAGTAATGCTTTATCAAATGTTTTTAATCTAAACAAAACTTAGTCATACTTTTAGTGTGTATACTTTCTTTTGGACATCAGTATAGCATATAGTCGACAGCTATGGATCAGTAAACAACTACAAAATGACATAAAGTAAAATATGGAATATAAAACTGAAAACCATGAATCCAGGTCAGAAGTTTATCAAACTTTGATATTCTGTTTTTACTTTCTTAATTAAATGTGAGTACTTTTTACTGGATTATATATTGAAAAATTATATATTGTCCGAAAAATGCATGATCAGAATGTCTAAACTGAACAAATTTATGACAATTTTATGTCAATAGTCAAGATATGTGAACTCTTACTGGAACACTGTTTGCCACTGGAACACCTTTTATTGGGCTTATCTGTGAGAGATGTTGCTCTCAGGTAGGTTCACAAGGCTAACAGTTACTGATATTTAAGTTGAATTGTACTTTGTCAACTTGCTTCTTTTTCTTGACAGCTTTGCCCACATTACATCAGGGGCGGATTGGGGCCAGGAACCGGCCCGTGCTTCCGTGTCGGAGTGGCCCCTTTTACTGACCGCAGAGCCAAGACGGGGGGTCCTGGGGCTCTCCCCCGTGAAAATTTTGAAAAAAGAACCCCAAATATGCGATTTTGTGGCATATCTAATTATAATCTCTGTCAAATAATATATCTCATAAATCGATTAATTTAGGCCAAAACCCCGACCTGCAAGTAATTTACAACCATCAACCTGTGAAATTATCATATCGTCATATTATTAACGTATTATCATTGTATCGTCAAGAGTCAAGAGAATTTAACTGGTTAAAAAATGGGACAGTTGAGAAAATTTTGACCATTCCGAATTCTGGCCCACACCCACGCACCCAGCCCAGAAAGTGTATTATACCAGCCCATTCCAGTGATGGCATGGCGGCCCGTTAAAGCCACTGGCCACATACAACATGATCATCATCACTCCATGGCCGGTCCAATACACCCCCCCCCCCCCCCAATATAATGTTCAGCAGAAAAAGGTTTTTTTAGATGAATTGGACAAAATTATTTTTTTCATTTTTTGTCCGACCGGCCCCTCGGGCGATCGCCCGTTGGCCCAATCTGCCCCTGCATTACATGTATTAAAGCTACTCTTCTTTAACTTGAGTCATAATTAAAATAATATACTTACCTGTAACCATGACGGCACTTCTCTATCTTTATTAGCACCAGTAATCTGACTAAATTCTTCCATAGACAATATACAATCACAATTATCTGTTTTTATTAAAAAAAAACCCAGAATAAAACAATCAATTTTCAAAGATTCCAATAGTCCGAAATTGCAAAATGTCAGCCTCTTTCCTTGTGACTATTGTGATGTCTGACAACCAGAAAACAGTTAAAACTATAAAGTAGTAGAGAGTTCTAAGATATATTTGTCGAAAGGTAAGATTAAGAAATCCTGCTTTTTAACAATGTATAAGGTATTTTAATAATGGATTCTGTATGAAACAACTTAAACACCTGCAAACCTTCTGCCTATCTTCCCTGGCCAACAACCCTTAAATTAGTCATAAAAAAGGTGAGAGAAGGAATCAATACTTCAAACTAACATTCCAAATACAACTTTCTGTGTTCAAAACGTAAAACGTATAGTGACCGATTGTCTGTGAAGAATTGTAATTATGTAGGTTACATTAACATCATTTGAGAAAAGAAACATAGCTGTCCATATACATTCATTAATCAAAACATTTTATTGTCCTAAAATTTTCAAGGATATTGTTTTCGATGTGCTGCTAAATGACGGGATGACAGTTGGTAAATCATACATGAAATCCGTAGAAAGAGGTTATTATACTTATACAATTTCTACAGCATACATACCATATCCTTTTAAAGATGAAGCTAACTCCATTATATCAGAAAATGAAAGATTTAGAAGCTGTCTGGTTGATAAATCAGTAATGATGGCTTGACAATCTAGTTTATAACCAATATCACCTGTAAAAACAACAATTTAAATACAATTTTCTGAAGGTCCAATACAGAAAGATTAATAATACATGAGTTTACATCATCATGTAATGCAAGTTAAAAATAAAAAATCTGTGTCATTATATTTAAACAATTACATACCTGTGGTTCCACCTAGACCGGATATATTCACGAGGAAACCATCAGGTAATGTAGGTAAATCACTACATCCGATTTCTATCATACCATCTTTGTTATTGACTTTATAACCTAAATATTATATAAATTGTGGAATAAATTCTCAAATACTTGTTTTTGTTCACCTATGTGTTTTCATTCTGAGAAACAATACAGTCTGAATAATAAACAGCACAAATGAAAACAGTACAAAGTCAGTGCAATAAAATGCTAAAATATTGAATTAACCCACCACAACATAGCATCAGGTGATCTGAAGGAGCAATCATACCATGCTTCATGTACGACAATCATCAAAATTTGTAGTACTGACAACAGTTTATGCCAACAAAATTAAATAAAATAAAGTGTATAAAAAGAAAAGTAAAGTAGTAATCCAAACTAGAAATAATCACAACATTTGATTTGCCATTTAACAATACCTCTCCTCAGAATAACAATTTAAAAAAAAAACTAATATTTGTGACAAGATACATTTGCAATGCATAAGAAATGTACCTAAACAATCTGCCAACTTTAAACCGATCTCAATAACCTCTGATTCTTCAAGAGCTTTACTTTGGTTTTGCATATACAGAGTTTTTAATGTTGAATTGGGTCCTAAACATGATATTAGACTTAAAACTCCACATTTACCTAGAATATAAAAAGGGTTTTATTAATTACAACTATAAAGGAAACATGAATGAAGTGTGACATTAAATATAAGAACTTTTACATAAAATAATATGCTTTTCACACTAATCCACACTATCGATTCATTCATTTGTTAAGAGATAAATGTATTCATGTTTCATGTTAAAATCTTTTGAAGAAAATGGATCCATATTAAACTGTGAATTATTAAATACCAATATATATAGCTATTTCAACAGAAACTTGATATACAAATAAACAACTTGCCAATATTATTTCCGTGTAGATTAATACTATGTAAAGAAGACCCTTTCTTCAGATACAATTTACTTATTTCAATTGGACTTGGATCACACAGCTAAAATAAATATAAAAATCTTTGTATATATGAACACAAGAAATATTTAACAATCATTTTCCTCACTTCAGTATTTTTAATAGGGATAAGAATAATACAATTGTGGTTTGCTTTTTAAAAAAAAACGTGAACTGCTTAAAAGGTTTTCTATTGATAGACTTGATTAAAACACAGATCCTATTTCATTTCATTTTATATATATACTCTTCAAAAAAAGTAGGGGATATTGAAATGCAAATACCTATGCAGGTTGTCATATGATAAATAGTCATGGACACTTGACATGCTTTGAGGGTATGTTCACAGATGAAGAACTTATCGCCCCAACAGAAGCACTGAGCTGCACATGTAACACGCAATAGCGCCCTACACGTGGGAGGGGTTCATTGTCAAATTTGACACTTCAAGGAAGGGTTGATGAAAGCTGCCGCTTGCTGGTTTATCCTATCTATGTTTGCTTTCCTATCGGTTTTTGCATAAGATTTACTGTTTTTCCATAAGAATTACTGTTTAGCGTATCTTTGCTTTAGTGTGTTACGTTTAATTTGATCGGGAGACGTGTTCATCGACGTCAACCGACAACACTGCAAGAATTGGCTGTGCCACTGCAAGAGGAGTGGGTCAGATTGCCCCAAATCATGATTGGACGGTTGATTGGGAGCATGCCATGACGAATTGCTGAATGTCTGAGGATTGGTGGAGCAATTACCCATTATTAAGACACAAAAACAAAAACGTCCATTTTCACTTTTGACAGTGTATCTCTTTGCGAGTGAAATGGGGCCGTCAGATAAGCCGCCCATATGAACTGTTTATATTCATGTGTAGGCAATTGGCCTGTTATTAACATACACTGGTTACCTCTAATAAAAACCGCAGTGCATTTCCGCAGTTTTGTATTGTTTCTGAATATCTCCTACTTTTTTTGAAGAGTATAGTTCAAAATTTTGTTTTACTTGTCTTCACAACACTAGGACATGGAAGAGTTGTTATATAACAGGCGTTCTAGTTGATGTGAGGAATTAGTCAATGAAACGGTCTGTTACGGTGAATTCTTGGCGTGCTCTGCACGGTACTGTGGGTAAACCCCTAGAAGCGTCAAAGCTGATTGACTAATCGATGTCTGAAGTCATAGAGTCAAACTGGTCAGATCTTCATGTAGTGTAGGCCATCGAAAGTATAGAAAAACAAAACAAAATATAGATCTGTATTTTAATCAAATTGTGACAAATTTATTTTACAAATGTGTTTATATTTTTATAGTTTCCAGCTCTTTATTTTACTGTGTGTGAGTTTCAAAATTGTCTGTGCTGTAGCACTTTCTGGTGTTCTTTATTAACAGGCTGCCAGTTTAAAGACAGTGATAAAGAAACAATAAATTCCAAACCTGAATAGCTAGGGATGGGAGTCAATGAACTATCATCCAGTAACAGGTTTTATACAGGAATTATTTTAATATACATATAGGAATAAATAGAAGCTAACCTCGTTATTTGAAACATCTAAAACTGCTAAGGGATAGTCTGTTTTCTTCAGCAGAACCATAACAAGTTGTGTTATTAATTCATCAGTGAAGCGATTAGCAGACAATTTCAACATATGCAATTTAAGTTGTGCATTCATGGCATCAAATAACTGTAACATATCCTTATCAGCTAGGGAGCACCCATCAAAACTTAAAGCTGTTATATTACTGGAAGACAATGCAGCTGTAAACAAAATTATAGAAATGAATGGAGAAGAATTCTAAAACATATACCATGTATAGCTGAAATGCCAAAAGTGGCAAAAAGAAGGAGTTATCCCCCTTTAGTCTCCCAACTTTAACACAATCAATTGAATTAATTTGACTTTAATTCAGCAAGATGCATAGATTAATATTGTAATACTGGCTGCAGGTACACAAAAAAAAAACCCACTACACTGAACATTGTGCAAAATCATCCAAAAACATGAAGATTTTGAGTTGTTCCCCTTAATCTTCTAAACAAGAAACATTTATATGAAAGATTCAACTTTGAGAACTTTGTTTCAAATGATATTAATCGTTATGGTATTATCTAGGTATACATAAGAACTACTCACCATTAAGAGATTTCATAGCTTCGGTTCCTGAAAGTTTTAACCCATCTAAAACTAAAGTTGATATTTGAAGACCTTTATTCTTGACAATTATCGATAACCCTTCCAATTTCTCAACACTCATCCTGGCTTTTCTCAGGTTTAAATATTCCAAATTGGGGAACTGTGTTTGAAGATTCTCTGCTATACTATCACATTCATTCAACCCAAACGTTAACTTTTGTAATGAACTATTTCCAGCAGCATCTTGAAAAGAAGAATTTTTTAGATAAGCAACAAACAATTTCAGCACAACAATTGCATTGAGAAGAATGCTACATTTTAGCTTAATAAAAGAAAAAATATATACATAAATAATGAGTCAGACCACACTAGTGTCAGAGTTTAGCCCAGTACCGGTTGGGCTCAGTTATAAACAATTGTAAACATAACACTAGATCAACAGTTTATACTAGTAATAAACAGTTAGGGTTGAGCAAAATTAATCTTGTGGAGTATAACATAAACACAATGAAAACAAAAATGCAGTAACAAATAAACTCTCAGTTGTGAACTTATATACCATAAGAAAACAGGGACCAAGCAACACTAGGATATGATTTGAAACACTGTGATAGTACATACCCTGTGTAAGCTTTACAATATCTTGTAGACATTCTGGCTTAAGATCATTATTATTGCTAATATCCAGATCAAGTAAATTACACAATTTCCCACAGAAATTTCTGCCCAGGAAAGACAGCATCTGATTGGTAATTTTGCTTGAATTCAACTTTAAACTAGTCATGGATGATATAGTTGAAGAAGTTACTGAAACTAGAAGTAGAAAAAAAAAACAAATGGATACTTTAAAATACCAAATAAATTGCATGTAATATTTATAGCAAATAGGAGCCACGGTGGCTTAGTGAGTATAACACTGGCTTGCTAACCTGGAGGTCTCGGGTTCGCTCCCTGTGTCACTCGAGAAAATTCCTCAGGATTTTCCGGTGTGTTCCCCCTTGTCAGTGGTGCAGGACGGAGGGCCTGACAAAGACAGCTGTCTAGTCATTTGGATGGAACGAAAAAAATGAGGTCCCATGTATACATTGGCGTGCTTGTAGAAGAACCCTTGACAGTTAGAATTCAATTTAGTAGTCTGTAGCGCCACTGTCCAGGCAATATGTTCCTCACAGCACACTGCATGGTGTATGCCCATCTTCATCAGCCCAGTCTGTACAGAAAAGTAGGACATAAAACCCCATTTCATTTCATTTTCATAGCAAATATATAACTGTCATAATAAATTCCAATCACCAGTGTATTTATAAAATTTATTAAACCATGACAATATAAGTGTTTTTTTTAAATACACAATTCCTTAGCATAATTCATCTATGTAGTTCATCATTGAGAAGTATACAGTGGATAAATTTGACAGAGCAATCCCGTTTCAGTCTTCTCTTCAACTTGTTAAAGGGGTAGAAGCAGATAGCTGGAATAATGAAAACTTCTCCCTCTGACAAAGACTGATACCGAACATGACAATGTAAGAGAAAGTAGTTTGGCTTTAAAACTAAATTGCCATCTCTTCAAACTGAATATTTTGGCGATACTGTATTATATTGTGGCAAGTAATATTAGAGCCTGTTGATAAAAACCTTAGAAAGGGACAAAATATTTACATTGTATTATATTTTGTACAATTACCTTCACTTGTCAATGATGTATTGGATATTCTGGCATCATTTATATAAAGATGAGACAAAGAATCATGTTGGAAAGCAGAAACAAGAAAATTATATAGCAATTCACTCTCTTCAAACTGCAATTCAAAAGATAGGTTGTTGGGCAATGAAGCATACACCCACAGAAAGTAAGTCATCAGAAATGTCCATAAAGGTTATCATAATTGGCACTTTTGACAAGATTCTATAACATAATCAAGGACATTTGTTGAAATAGAATTCTTCAGGAATTGCTATAAATTAATACTAATAGTCTTCGCCACCTCATTAATATAGAGATCATTTGGTAAATGTAGTCAGTGTTCATAAGAAATGGTGGAAAGCAGGTGGACAGGGGCACCGACAATATACAACATCATATATCAATGTGAGCATTTAAGAAAATAGCATAAAACAAACAATCAGATCCATTCATAAAGACTGTACATGTATATAAAAGCATATGTAACTTATTCACAAGCTGGAATAATTTCATTTATCTATAGTCTTCAGATTTTACCTCATTTCCACTAAGATTAAGTTCTACAAGAGATTTATTGAGCTGTAATCCATCCAACAACAGTTTAATACCATCACTATTTATATCACAGTTACACAAACACAGAGAGCTTAGTTTGCAATCAACATTCTGAAAATTATACAAAAATGCAGTACACAGAAACAAATCAAGAATTAAACTAGTAGAATTTTTCAATACTTTGGCTACATTTCAATGATCAGAATAAATATGTTAATGAACTCTGTTTGAACCACATTCACATACAAAATAAAGAGCTGTCTTAACAGAGCATATTATTGATCCAAAACTATTAAATCCTAATGTAAAGTAAGACCATCTTAAGTTCACATTACTTTTCATTGATTCCATGCTGCCATTTTTTCCTGTTGTAGAATGGTCAGTCAAAGATATCTGATAAATCATTTCTATTTGAATGGTTTACTAGCCAAAGAACAGTTTGAGGCAGAGAACTATTTAGGATTAACATCCACTCGATACAAACAATGTTTCGGGATTAACATGTTGTATAATTTATATAGAGGTCTTTTAGCAGTAGGATATAACCGGAGGACTGGTTGGGCAGATGACCTCCTTGTCACTTACAAGCATGGGATTGAAACCATGCCACCTGACTCAATGATCTAAAGTGCATGCATTTTCTATACATTTCTATAGATTGTTTTATATTAATGAAAGTCAACCTTTAGAACTGTGTTGAGTCCCTCTCCTAAAGAACGTCTGTCTGTTACTTGGTTGCTACTCAGATCTAATTCTGTTATAGTTTTATTCTCTTTTAACCCTTCTAATAAAACATTCACATCAACAATTCCAATACTTTGGGCTCTGTAAAAGCAGCACATGTATTTAAAGTCATTGGCTACTAGACGATACACATGTTACAACTCAATTGATTAAATTTCTGTTTATTTTTGCACTAGTTTTAATTTTGATCTCAACAAGACGTTTAAAATATCAGTATATTCTATATTCTATGTACGACCTGAGGAGAAAAGAACATTCTCTACTTCATTCTGTTTTTCTTTTTATTCATCTAGAAGTGTACCGTACATTTATTGCCAAATATGAAATTCTCTAGATCACTCCACTCTAATCCTATACATGTATGCACCTAAATGAGCAGAAATATTATCTCAGAGCTTCTGATTTGATCAAATTCTTGGATATTCCCCTAGACCTCACGCAATTCTTGACGTTTTCTCCACCCTGGAACTCCTGAAAATCTTGATGCTTTCTCCACCCCGGACACACAAAAGCCCCACACCCCATCGTTAAATACTTGAACATACCCCTGCTGGTCTCAGGCCTGACAGTTCACCATACCAACAATCAATTAACCAAATTTCAGCTGTTATTTCAAGTCGTTATTCTGAGCTTGGCAATATACCACACTGTCTACTTACTTTAATCTTGTCAATGAAGTATTTGTTTTAAGAGCTGGACCAACACATCTTGAAAAATAATCCTTTCCTAGACTATTACCAGATACATCTAAATACTGTAATGTGCCGTTTTCTTGTACCATTTTACCTATGCATGCCTGTAAAATCAGTCCAAATAGAAATGGACAAGTGATCTCGTGGAGGCCTCTGCCGACTTCATGACATTAATCAATTTCTCATTATCAAACAATATTTTATGATCAAGGGACATGAAATGATATCTGGACTAGTAAGCATCAGTATCTAGCTGCAGCTTGCCGCAGTTTGACCTCACTTGTTTCTGCACTAACAAAAAGGAAAATACGCCATGCAGTGTGCTAGTGTTATTTTGCCCCGACAGCAGTGTGTTTCTGTCTACTCTCCATCAAATTCCAACTAACATGGGTTTGGTTACATGTATGCGAACGTGTACATCCAAATGACTAGAAGTTCCGCCAGGCTGTCCATCTTGCAGTACTAACAAAAGGAAGCCACGCTAAAAATCTGGAGGTAGCTTATCATCTGCCAACACCCAGGACTTCCTGGTTAGTAAGCAAAGCCACTGTGGCTCCCAGATTACTTAGAACTTTTTTGTTCACTTGCAGACTATAGCTATTTTTGGCTTTGCCATTAATTATAAACTTTTTAAAGATACCTATAATGATCAAGGCAAAACCAAAAATTTATTTAGTTTATTGCTATGGCTTTTTATACTGATACTAAAATTTATATAGAGAGTCTATAAGTATTAAACTTATTATAGTTATATTTCATACCAGAGATCTATAGTGTATATTCTATCTATATAAAATTGTTTTAGTCCTACCGAAGTATCTGTATCTGTTCTATTATCTGCCAGATTCAAACTAGTGATAGTTATATTACTGCACATAGCTAGACACACAGCTCGGAAAGCCTGTGGACCCATATTATTGTAGGAAAGATCTAATATCTGAAAAAAATTTATTGAAAATACATAAAATATAATTTAAAAAACGTTTATTTTAAAAACAGACATATTATTTAACAATAAATGCTTCAACAAGAACTGAAATGAAATGAAATGGAGTAAACCATCCTACGGCTCTGCACCAAATGGGCTAATGAAACTTAGTCGAAGACAAATGCATGTTAATGCATCACATAAGGTCAGGGGTGGATTGGGCTGGTCAGACAAAAAATGAAAAAAAAAAATTCGTCTAAAAAAAACTTTTCCAGCTGAACATTATAGGGGGGGGGGGGGGGTATTGGACCGGCCATGGAGCGATGATCACCCGAAGGGCCGGTCGGACAAAAAATGAAAAAAATAATTTGGTCCAATTCGTCTAAAAAACCTTTTCCTGCTGAACATTATAGGGGGGGGGGGGAGTATTGGACCGGCCATGAAGCGATGATGATCATGTTGTATGTGGCCGGTGGCTTTAACGGGCACCATGCCATCACTGGAATGGGCTGGTATAATAGACTTTCTGGGCCGGGTGTGCTGGGTGTGGACCGGAATTCGGAATCCTGCAATGGAGATTCCGAATATCACCCGAAAATTTCATTGGATTCACCCGCAAATTTACTAATTATTGAGTCACCTGCACCCTGTCCCATATTTTAACCAGTTGAATTCTCTTGTCGATACAATGATAATACGTTAATTAATAATATGACGATATGATGATTTCACAGGTTGATGGTTGTAAATTACTTGCAGGTCGATTTATGAGATATATTATTTGACAGAGATTATAATCAGATATGCCACTAAATCGCATATTTGGGGTTTATTTTTCATAATTTTCCCGGACCCCCCATGTTGGCCTCGCGGTCAGTAAAAGGGGCCGCTCAGACATGGGAGCCCGGGCCGGTTCCCGCGCCCAATCCGCCCCTGCATAAGGTACAGCTAAATGTCATCTGCTTTATAAGAGTGAATATGTCATAGTATCTGGTCAAGAAATAGAGGCTATTTTTACAATATCACACATTTTATTGCATATATAGATCTTTAAGGCCTACCTGTAAATTGGAGAGATTTTTTAATAACTGCGAAAAACTGATTGTTCTTGGTAGAGAACGTTTCAGATGTAGCTTCATCACTTGTTTTGTGGCCAATTTATAAAGATTTTCGGGTTTGACTAAAAGATTACAGCACTTCACACCCATATCAAAACATCTCTGTTCTTTGTCCAAGCTATCATCAGCTACTGTTTCAAGCTTGGTTTTTGACATTTTGGATGGTGATGGAGATTTTCTTTTATTATCTAGCCTATTGTGGAATTCTGTTTGAATTCAACGTTATTGTCTATTCCAGTTTGACGCTTTTCAACTGACTGTAATTTTAATTCTTTAGGAATGCTGTTTTTCACCAAGTGTAACAGATTTAATTCTCTCTGTATGCTACTTTTAACCAAAGATGACAAGTTTAATTCTTTTGGAATGTTGTTTTTCACTGATTCCAATGATTGCAATTGTGTTGGGATTCTTGTATCACTATCAGTTATATATGTATTGATGGGTTGTTGACCTGAAATTTATTTTCACCATTTGCAATGTCAGAATTAATGATGTCATTCGTTGACGTAATTCCCCTTACATTAGCAATTCCCATTACATTAGCAATAGATGTTTTGATTCTGCTTTATGATTGAGAAGTTCTGAATTTGAATTATCACTACAGCTTTTGTTGAGGAAGGGGGGACTTTTTCTGCAATTTTTTAAAAATTATCTGATCTTACACTGTCTGCTGGTCACCTTGTGGAACTTTAGACACAGTAATTTCACTCTGGCTCCTTAATTCACTATTTCCATTATGAGTGTTTTTGTTCTATTCTTTAAATGACATCTAGAAGCACGGTTAACTATTCATAACAAAACACAACACAAGGTATATATGGATATAACTACTTCTCTATTATTTAATAACGATGTTTTGTAACACATACAGGTCACGTTTTCTAGTTAATGATAAATATCCATCTAGTCAGCCTATTTATACATATTTTAGCTTACACCAACTTAATTAATAATTAAATTAAAGCTAGCTTTACTAAATTTAGATTGGGCTGACATGATTTCATTGATCAATTTTTGTGTCACATCTCCATAGTTATTAAATAATAGAGAAGTAGTTATATCCATATACACCTTGTGTTGTGTTTTGTTATGAATTGTTTTTGTTCTGTTTAGCATTTTTAATATCCCCCAGAGTTCGATCTATTGTTGGGCTACAACCATAGAGATGTATATATTATTGACTAGAGTGTGTGGTGATTACATGATCGCGTGCCAGCTATGGGGCTTGGCGGCAATTTTACAACCTGAAAGATTTAGCATACGTTGCATATACAAACATACCGGAGAGTTGTTGTTGTTTTGGTTAATTCAATGTTAGGTGAAAAGGGGGTAGATTATCATTTCATAAGTAGGTATGATAAGTTATAATTAAAATAGTGATCTAATAGATGTATAATCATGATAATAGTGTAAAATAATTTAATAAACACAGCGAGCAGATGTCGAACACTCGAAGCTTGAGGCCAGAAACCGGGCGGGTCCATTCACTTAATTTATTAGTACCGTTATTATGTAATAATTACAATATCCGTGTGTATAGTGAACTTCTAAATTAATGTATTTTTAATTATTATGGAAATTGCATACCGGTATATTATATAAACATACACATCTGGCATTGTACAAAAATATCATGGGGAGGAAGTCTGCTTATTGGAGTGGAGCTTTTAGTCACAGACATGCACTAACTGGCCAGTAGTTGCTTTAACTCCCTCAAATTTAATTAATTAGGCCGCCAGACACAGTTCCAAAAATTAATTCTTGTAAACCGATTGTGACAAATGGATGTATTTAAGTGAAAGTTTCTTGCAATATGCTTTTTTTTTTTTTTAGAAAACCCGAATAAAAAACCCTGAACTAGTTTTTAAAAAATTGGTTAATAAAAATAACGACAAAGTCGTGAAAACTTCATTCCCAGTCAAATTTTGTAAAAAATTAGGCCCGCTTTTTTTTTTTAATCGCTGCTACTGAGAAAATCTCATTAAGTTAATCTTATTTTTTTGTACAATTTAATATACATGTACCACCATATTTTTCAACCAAAGAAAAATCAGACACTATATGGAAATTGAAAACCATATAAGCCCTATTTATATTTTCCTTCTTTTTTTTTAAATATTTCCCATCAGACAAGTTAGATTATTTATTTATTTTTAAAATCTATCTTATTTCTTTATTTATCACTGTTATCATCTGGATGACGTTATAGTTATCTGTCAATCAAGCAGTCCTTTCATTTCAAATCATCCAACAAATTATTTAAATCTATCCAAAATTAAGTTTTATATGAACTACAAGGAGCCATGTTTCAAAATTTAGCCGAACACTTTATGGATCTGGACATTCGAGGACGGTCACTTTGCTCAATTAATAAAATAAACATGATTTCGTCTACACTAATATACACCATACCAATACTATGTCCACAGACCACGGTTGTCATTATGATGATTATGATAGAGTTATTCTTAATAATAAAGGTCCAAAAATATACCAGTTGACCAAAATGATTTTGTTTTTAGGACAGTAAAGTAAGAAATATCAATTATCATTTTTTTTAGGTTGACATTGTTGAATTAGAACTGCTTTTTTAACTGGGGCTTGTCCACCCTCCATCAGTCTATTTCCCTTTGTTTACAGAGCTTTCATCCGGGCACTTCCGTCATTCTTTCCCGGTTGAAACATGGCGCCGGTCTCAAGTGGCGACCTAAGACGTTAACGTTACGTCAATGGGGGTCCGTGACCACAATAGGCCTACTGTGAATACACTCTAGTCAAGATATACACCTCCATGGCTACACCCCATCATGGGAAGTTATTCTCTTCATATTTCAAGAAAACAAGTAAATTCTAAATTGTCTGACACTTTGCCCTAGACATTTTGATGGTTGCAATGGTTTTTGCCAGGTTTTTGAGTAGGCCTATAACATAGCCTAACCGTTAATTTATGGGTCTATTGCCTATTTATTGAAAGATTGCTCTTAAAGTCTTTATTTACCTAGATCCTGAACTTTCTAGAATTCAGAACCTGTGTCAAAAACAACAAGCCCACATACGATAAACTAGTTGAAAATGCTAACTGTGTAGGCCTATTATTTTACTCATCTATGGAAAATCTCAAAAAGATCCAATCCTTTGAAAGTTTGTACCGTATATATTATCTGATTCTCCATTGACGGCCAGTAGCCTACAGATTAAAGTATGTTAGCCAATTTATATTTTCGTTGTCAATAATGGCTCTGCACTAGCCTGCCATATTATATAACATACGACAATGGTCATGCATAGACTTGCACGTTACTACTTTACTTTAGGTAGACAGTTTTAAATCTAATCAGGTTATAACTTATTGAACGAGTATCAGAGCATAGCATAGTAGTAAAAACAAATAGTTCTTGTTTTGGTAACAAACGTGAATTAATAAACTCTAAGTAGTATTAGGATTAGTAAGTATATTTTGTATATTTACCAGTAGGCTACACACACATACAACAACTATTTGGTATTGGCACTTTTAATCAGGTGTCTTAATTATGGCTAAGGAATTATCTATCGTCTATCTTTCCTGTTGTCAATCACAACATTATTTTAAAAAATGACAGAGTTGCCTCCCTTGCACCGCTAGACTTGATTAACATTTGATTACATCATAGATAATACGGTATTATCTATGATTACATCATAGAACTGTATACGATCCATGATTACAATACATAGGCCTATGGTTATTGTAGCTACATACATAACCAAAACAGTCAAAATGGCCAATCAAAATTCACTTGCCTGCGATCTTTAAATTAGTGGATTATGAGCCGATTTACTGCAAAACTTTCCTTCACGATTTAACGATTAATTGGATAATCGAGACTATGCTGTTTATCGTAGGCCTACTGATTTTAGTAATGATGGCCGAGGCTAGGCGGAAATTTCAATCGCTTAGTTCTCGGTTCATAGTCAATCAATTTGAATGAAATTTTCAGCAAATTGCCTGAATTATTGTCTATTTTTTAACTATTATAGTGAGAACTGCCAACTCGTTATCGAATCTCCTATAGGCTAATTATCTTTTAACTTAACATTTAGATTCCTCTCTCTCCTCTATCTATGACTTTTTGTATTTCAATGTGTGGGCCTACAGAAAAATCGCTGAAATGTTTGCGGAATCCCATGTAAATTACATCATACGCGAGGATTTCTCTGTACAGCACCATGTCCAAAAAATCGGCCATTTGAAAGCTGAATTTGGTGAACCAATTAAGAGCGGTTGATCGACTTAGTCAAGGAGAACCTGTGTTTGTGCGCCAAAACGTAAACATTGCATGCGCACACTTCACACAAGAAAAACTTCAATGCAACCCTGGCACCTAGACACAATTTATATTCATATTTAAAAAAAACACGTTTCAAAGACATTCAAGTAAGAAATTTTTAATAAATACAGCACATCACACAATATGTAGTGTAGATCTATAAAATTAAAAATCATATAGTAAATCTGATGAATGTGGACAATATAACAGAACTTACATCGATAAACACATAATGTTATAAAAGCTTATAGGTATTATGGCGCCTGTTGTTATAAAGCAGCAACAAAGTCTTGGACATCCTCGTTCAATTTCAAAAGTAGGCTACATGTGTAGCAGTAGAACCCACAATTATAGAAGTACAGTACATAAAAACATTTAAGATCCCTCAATTAGTAAAATACAAATTACAGATGAAGTGAAATCCACTATATCTATAATCAAATTTACATTTATTTTTTTAGTGCTTGGATACAGATATTCAAGTTTCTTTTCCTAATTTTAACAGCATCAAATGATATTGGTCTAACTTTAAAGCCACTGATAGATAATCACGTCAGTTGAATTCCATCAGATTATAAAGTAGCCCACATAAGTTTTTGTTTGTCATCTGCAGGCCACGCAGAATTTTCAATCATTTTTAATTCATTATATCTTTATAAATACTGAAAGGAATTGAACCATTTTGGGACCAATATCCCTTTCAAAGATCCAACTTTCACAATACTGTACATTCAAAATTGCTCAATTGATGGCTTTAAACAAAGCTATACTAGATATTTTTAATACCAAATATTCATCTTTGACAACTTTAACTGAAATATTTTTGCAGAATATAATGCCTGTGTGAACAATGTTAGCTTGTATTAGCCATAGTGCTCTTATATTGGACAAGATCTTCAAAAATGTATTGTCTTATGCATTGGAAAAATTGGTATAAGGTTACAATGAATACCTTTCTACAACACAATCAAAAACCAGTTTCTGATTTTGAAACAAATAATAAATGTTAAAGTCCACAATGATTGTACTAACAATTGACACCTTTTCACTGTAATCAATACCATAATCAACATAAATATAGTATACAAATTGATGTATATAACAAACAATGCATTGTGTATTAAAATGTAAACTGATTTAAATTACCCATATTATAGTTCCAGACCAAAAACTTTCATTTTCTTAATCACGATTGAAGATAATATCAATACAATACGTATAACAATGAACAATTTCATACACAATTACATTTTGGTTCAACACCAATATAACACACGACTAAAACACAATCCAGATTCACCTATAAATGACCTTCAATACTTCAACATTGAACAATTTTACACTTTTGGTTTTTTGAGCTTTAAGAATTCTAGTCCCAGTCGTTCCAGTCTAAGCTGTCCATGCTTTGACAACAACAAGTACTGCTTTATGCTATTTTGTTTAGACCAATACTCATTGAAGCCAAGACAATTTGTGATGTGGAGCAATCAAGACTACAGGAATTCTGCTGTAAACAGTATTTCATTTATCTAATAACAAAACAATTAATTAATTACAAATGCATTAGATACTATTTCAGGAGATATGACTTAAAAATTTTATTCTGTTAATTTACCCTCAAAAATGGAAAATTCCTCTTTGTATTTTATTTAGGTGTAGTTAAAATACCGACAGCTGAAGTGATTCATATATTTACAAAATTTAGTTTCAGAAAAAATATTGACATTGTCCTTGAATACTAAAATTTGATAGATGTGTCATCTGTAAGTAATAAATTCATCTCTTTACTTTAACAATTAACATGAACGCAATAACTTTCAACAATTCACAACAGGGAACTAACATTTTAGAAATTAATTTACATTAATCAATTTGAACATTTAGGTGCCTTTTCAGATCTGCAGTGGCCTGACGGGATGGTTGCGCAATGTGGAAAGATATTGTAGTCCCCCTCCAACTAGCTGTCAGTAGAAGCATTCTTTCTGGGTCTATGGAGCAAAACTCTTATATTTCCCATTGACCACTCACATTTGCATCTTTCGCATCCTAAAGGAATCAAATATTTAGCATTCTATAGTCAATAAAGCTCCAAAAATTTCTGTGATTTTAAATCTATTTTTCTCTTAAATTGTTTACAGTTCTATCCCTAGCTACATGTATGAATAGAAGCATCTGAAGGAATGAACCAATAAAAATTTGGCACCTTACAACTATATAGAAATCAATAAAATATTGGCACCAATGGTGCCCCTGCTGAAAAATAAACCCCTGTGTCCCACCCAATCAGCCACTACGATCAGAGGCAGTATGGAAAAATAGAAATATTATATATATTACTAGTATTTTTCAATTTACATCATTACAGTTCACATGATTGAAAATTAACAAGCGAACTGTGAGGCTTATGTCCCCCGCTGAAATCCTAAAATAAACAGATGACACTTATTAATTAATTGCAAGTTTATCCATTTCAAAAGTATGGAGCAATCAAACTGATTATCAACTCTATAAACTAAGTTTCATCACTCTCTATCAGATAGAATCATAGTCAAAGCAATTGCTTAGCTCTGCTTAGCTTTAGCGGGAAATGTTAATCATTGAACTCAGTCAAGACATTCACCTAATGAACATCAGCATCAAGTTTAAACATTCTACATCAATTAAAAGCAGAGTTCTTATGTTCCAAAGTCTTGACCAATCAAACTGCTTATCGCTCCTTACTTTAAGTAGAAAATTCTCCACAAGTAATGATATAATGAATCTATACTCAAAGTTTCATAGCTCTCACTTAAACATACATTATGCAAGAGCTAAATCTGCCTATTGCAGATCTTTCTTTAGGCCTGAAATGTTATCTAAATTATTAATTAGACATTAATTAAGTTATCCAGACCACAATCAACGCTAGTCTGCGATATTTACTAGATTAGGATTCGATTTGATGCTCAACTTTCATTCATGATTTAATCATGAAATGGATAATCAAGACTATGTTCTTTATTGTACTGACTTTAGTAATGATGATTGAGGCTAGGCCGAAAATTCAATCGCTAAAATCAAAGTTCAGAGGGGATCAATTTTAATGCAATTTTCAGCAAATTCCCTTTACATTATCTAGTTTTTAACTATTATAGTGAGAACTGCCAGCTCTTTATCTAATCTCCCATAATGTATCTTTAATTATAATCAAAGTTATTGTGCCCCAAAAACATAAACCAATCAAATTGCTTATCCCTGCTTACTGTAAGCAGACAATGTTCATCGTCAAACTCCATCAAGGCATTCACCTGATGAACGCCTACACCAAGTTTGAACATTCTATCTCAATTAGAAAGAGAGTTATTGTGTTTCAAAGTCTCAAACAATCAAACTGCTTACCCTCTGCAGAAAATGTTTATTATCAAACTTAGTCAAGGTATTGATGTGATGAAACTTGAACTCTCACTTAATTAGAACTAAAGTTATCGTGTCCCAAAGTATTAACCAATCAAATTGCTTATCTCTGCTAACTCTTAGCAGAAAATTCTCATCTTCGAACTCCATCAAGGCATTGACCAAATATAAACATACACCGAGTGTGAACATTGTTGCTCAATTTGAAGGAGAGTTGTTGTGTTCCAAAGTCTTGACCAAGGAGAGTTGTTGTGTTCCAAAGTCTTGACCAATCAAACTGCTTATCACTCTGCTCACCCTGAGCAGAAAATGTTTATTATCGAACTTAGTCAAGGTACTGATGTTATGCAACTATACACCAAGTTTGATCACTCTCATTTAATCAGAACTAAAGTTATTGTGACCCAAAGCATCAACCAATCAAATTGCTTATCTCTGCTTACCCTAAGCAGAAAATGCTCATTTCGAACTCCATCAAGGCATCGACCTAATAAACACCTGCACCAAGTTTGAACATTCTAGCTCAATAAGAAGAAGAGTTATTGTGTCCCAAAAAATGTGATGGACAGACGTCCGTCTGAACGGACGGACAGACCCATTTTAATAGTTGAAAGGCTGGGGACAATAAAAAAACCATTAATTCCCTGTATACCAAACCCATTATCACTAGAGTGATATATCTATTAAATTTCATGAAACATTCACACGTCAAGTCATAATACAAATTAATTCCAAAGGTACACTGATATAACCATTTTTTACAATTACAAATAACACAAAGCACTTAATTTATGAACAACCCTACAATAAAGAGAGCATCTTTTTATATGTTTACGGTATTTTTTTTTTAAAGAGGCTGAAACAGATATTGTACTAA